CCAGACCTCTGGGAGGTGGAGTTCGTTGGATAATGTTGTCAACACCTGGGAATTTAGGATTTATTTTGTGTGTGTTGATTTGTTGGTTTCAAAGCAGGATCATGTTGTATCTTAATGCTTGGATTTCGAATAGTGAGTCATTCTCTGGGTACGATTCACCGTTTTCAAGGTGCGCAGTGTGGTGGTGTCTTTGTGACTGTGGGTTTCTGTTTGTGACTGCAGATCTGCTGTGGAGCTCTTTGAGGCTTACAGCATGGCTGCAATGACATTCAATCCTCCTGTGGAAACTTCCAGCCCCAAAAGGAAGGTATGTGATACTTTTCATTATTTTTTTAGAAGATGAAGTCAACACTGAACTAATATATCTCTTAATTATTTGTTTCCAATTTGCCTAAGTGTTAATAGGTAGATTTTCTTGTTTAGTCAGTGATGGGAGGATGGATCTCTGGGGTTGGAATTCTATAGAGAGTCATGGGACTGTCTCATTAAGTGTAGGGTATGCCCACAACTAGACCCAGCCCCGTCATTATCACAGCTCACATGTGGTTGGTTTGGTGTTAGCTGTTGCTATTTTTAGCTCTGCTCATAGTTTGGCTTTTGTTGTTGGCATAAGAACTTTTAACTCTTTTAATATTTCTTCAGGATAAAGATTTACAAGGGGATTCATTTTTGAATGAAGATTTAAATCAGCTAACCAAAAGACTTAGCAATGAAGCCGCTACTCAGTTGCCTCTGGATTTCACCAAATGTTTGAAGACGTCACTACGGTAGCAGAAGGACGAAGAGCAGTGGACTTTTCTGTGCACCGTGTCTTTGTGCAGACGCACAGTTAGACAATGGTTCTCTTTTTGGACAGGAAACTTCCCAGAGAATTCCCCAAGGAGGAAGTTACCCTTTGCGTGGGGCAGGGTTCTGCCCTGGTTCTGAAACGTCTTTCCATTGAGAAAGGAGAATCCAGAGCCTTTTCTTCCCCTAATGTGTGGGAACTTCTTTCTTAATGATGTTGCCTTTTTGAAATTTAATATATATATTAAGTTAGTTTTTTAAAAAAAACCTTTGGACTGAATTTATTGGGATGCAGTTGCTAGATTAAAATGAGGGCAAGAGAGCACAGAATAAACAAGACGGTGAGATTGTTTTTTACAGTTCAGCTAGCTACTCTTTATAACTATTCAATAAATAAATCCATTTCTGTTACACCACCATCGTTGGAAGTGAGAAATTAAAAATTTGAGTATGTTTTTACGAAACTTTTGAGAAAAGAAAAAATAGCTTGAAATCTGACACCAGGTTCATTGGCTCTTGCTGGATGGTAGGTACACTTCAAGAAGGAACCTCATCTGACCTTTGCAAAAAGGACAAGTGCTCATTCTGACTACTTTCAAAGAAAGTTAGACTGTGATTCTGGTCTTCAGAGTTCTTTGCATTTTTGGGCATGCTCTGGAGGGTGGTGGGGGAAGAACTGCCCCACATCTTACCATTCTGTTTTAAGGATAAAGGGTACCCAGGGAAAGGCTTTGGTAAAATGCCTTATTCTTATAATTATAAACCAATATAATACAGCTGTTACCATATTCTAAGAATGGCCTATGAAATAAGTGTTTAATGAACAGATTATAAAAATTTCTCCTGTGAATAATTAAATAAAACAGCTGCTTTTTCTACTTCCTATTCCTGTAATGTGAGAATTAAAAAAAAAATTCACAGCAGTCCAACTGAGTAGATCAGTTATTGCTTCAGAGCTATAGAAGCCAATGATTTTGGTCTAGTGCTTAACACTTCTTTTTTTGGTCATGAAGTAAATGAAAATAGAAAGTTGCATTATCATTCCTGCAGTGGGAATACTAGTTTTAACAGTGCATGTAATCTCTTAGCATGTTCTTATATGTGGTTTCTAAGATCAGATTTTTTAGGCTTGATTATTTAATAATGAGAAATGAATGATTCAACATATAAATATTTGCTTCTGACCTACCTTTTAGACATAGAACAAAGTTCAGGAATGTTAGGAATAGTTTGGATGACCAAAGCGTCTTTCCATATCAGAGCACAAGTCATCAATACATGCCACAAGTCATTTATTTCCCAAATATAGACAAAAACATTTGGCAGTAGAAATTAGATGAAAAGTAAATTTTAAAATAGAAATTCAACTATTTCACACTTTGTATTATGTTTTTAACCCTTTTGTTACATAGAGAATCACAGTAGGACCATAAAGTTATATATCTAGGTTTTGAATATCCTATATGAATTTGAGGATGAAATATATTTGTGCATTTATTTACATAGCCTTGTACTAATGTTTCATTTTCAGAACTGAATAATGGCAATCATTAATAATATCAGCTACACACTAACAGACAAACCTTGAGATTATACTAAGCTACAGCCTTATTCTTTTTTTAAACTAAACAAATATTGGGCACCCACTATGTGCTTTTAGCACTGTGCTAGGCATTAAAAGTGAAGTGGGGTAATAATGGGAGTCAGACAGCCTCAGTCTTCCATGACCTTGCATGAGTTAAGTCATTCACACACAAAATTCGACATTACCCTGTTCAGTGTCAGGGTGAGGGTTTCAAAGTTCGGAGACCTGTGTCATCTGAAATAGGGGTTTCAGAGGCCTGCCTGGTGGCAGGCTGGAGCACAGTATATTCTGGATCTACGAGACCTGTATGAATAGTTGGATAATCATGGAGATTCAGCAAGTATTTCAGAAATAGTCACTTCAGGTATTCCCCTGTCAGAATACCCAGCCATCAATCAAGAGTTGCTTTTAAGAAGTTAATGCATGGAGGTGGCAGAGAACACACGAACCGTTAGCGAGCCACTGTATCGGCAAAATGTTGCCACAAGTGTGGACTCTGTGTAAGAGGCAAACTCCCGTTTCTAATGACCCTTTGAAGGGCCCAGCATTCACCTCTTCTCACCTCACTGCTGATGTGACAGAAGCAACTGAAAGGAGTCAGAGGCAGCCATTGGAGAACACTTCCCCTGCAGGCTTCTCTGTCATGTACAAGGCCATTCACCAGCCAGGAAAATGGTGCTCTTCCATTTGCTTGGAACAGCTGTGCAGCTTTGTTTTAGAGTTAACTCAAGTTTACCAGACCAGATGCAAACTCCGACTACTCTTCAGAATTAAGGAGAGGTCAGAAGAAATGTTGGAGGGGAAGATGTACATATATAACAGTAGAGGGTGGCCACTTCCATGAATGAGCCCCCAGTGTCTTCAGATGCTTCTATGAAAGCAAAATCTGATTAAAAACAAGGCACCTGTAACTCACTTTTGTTAAATCTAGACCCCATATCTACCCTGACCTGGACAATTTTTATAACCAACTGACACTAAGGATGACATGAAAGGAGGTGTTCCCTCAAGAGGACACTTCCTGCCCAAAGTGTCACTTCTTACAGATTTATGCAAATTTACCCTCAATTCCTTAACACCCTTGTATAATTACTTTTTGCAAAGCAACCAATTCCTGATGGTGACAGAAGAAGTTTATTTCTCCCAGCATCATAGGTCATAGTGGATTTCTACTCGAAACCTTTCTTGCCAGCTAGAGATTTTCTTTAAAGTTGGTGCCACCTAACAATAACTGGATTCATTCTCCTTTCCTTTGGTTTTTAGTGAAGCAACTTCAAATATTTCTCCCTCAAATTTTGTAATAAACCCAGCTTGCATATTTGGATTCTTTTCCATATCAACTTTACTGACACAAGTTGGTACTGAAATTTTTAGTAGTCTGGAAAGTATGAAGTGGTAATGGGTATAGTCTGTGTGGCTATTCTGCATAATAGGATAGTTTCACTTGGTATACTAATACAGCTGTATAGTTCAGATAAGTCATCAATAAAAATTTCATGTTTTTGGCAAACACCAGGTATGTGCTGGTTAGTTTTTCTTTTTTAAAAAAATATATATATTTTATTGATTTTTTTTACAGAGAGGAAGGGAGAGGGATAGAGAGTTAGAAACATCGATGAGAGAGAAACATCGATCAGCTGCCTCCTGCACACCCCCTACTGGGTATGTGCCTGCAACCAAGGTACATGCCTTGACTAGAATCAAACCTGGGACCTTTGAGTCCGCAGGCAGACGATCTATCCACTGAACCAAACTGGTTAGAGCTCTGCTGGTTGGTTTTAATAGTAGAGGAGACCTTTTACATTTAAAAAAAGATGTTTTTATTGATTTTTAGAGAGAGAAGAAGGAAGAGGTAGAGGAACATCCATATGAAAGAAATAATCAGCTGCATCCTGTGGGATTGAGCCCACAACCTGGAACTAAACCAGTGAGCTCTGGGTGCACAGGATGACATTCAACCAAATGAGCCATGCCAGCCAGGCAACCTCTTACATTTTTGAGCAATGTACCTTCCTAAAATCCCAACGACTCAGTACAATAGAGTATGTGCTTCTACCTCAAAATGGAATGAATGACCACGTTGAATTGCAGCACAGGCCCTAAGCCGGTTCACTCACTGGCTGGAACCCAGTCTCGTGCTGTCTCATGGTGGGTCGGGTTTTTTGCTGCCGCCAAATCAACTATGTTAAAGGTTGTGGGCTGGGCTGGGGTGGCGCTTGAAGAGAGTCAAGGCCAAATAGGAAACCTAGGGAGACTAGTTTTGCTTTTCATTTGATTACTCTGCCATTTTATTCAACTCTAGCCAGTGAGGCCAGTAACTCAGTTTTCAATACATGTAAGCCGAACCAGAAGGGGAAAATGCCTATTAATTTATAGAAGCTTGATAAAAGTATTTCTGGGATATTAAAAAAAAACAAAAACGAACAGCATTGTGCATTTGTTATAAACTGATTATTTGATTTAAAAAGACACCTGTAGCTCTGCACAAACGACATCAAACTGCAGCAGCCTGAATTCGGCTGACCAGCAGATGAGATTCTGCTCGTGTGAAGGCTCAGTCAGTAAGAACAGCCCATAACATGAAAGCTGTACAGTGTTGTTGTTTTTTTAAACATTTCTGTTCCTAGAATAGGTGAAGGATTTGAGGTTGTTTTATTCTTCTTTCATAATTGGTTAAAAAAAAAATCCTCAAAGCAAAGATTAGGGCTTTTAAGTGTGTTTTATAATTTGAAGAAAAATGTCAAATTTTAGTATCAATAGGAAGATAAAATTTGGATTTTACTTTAGCAATGTTTCCCAAACTTTTGATATATGTGTACCACTTCTATAATTTTCATAACGCTGAGTACCCCTCGTACTCATGAGAACGTAGAATTAGGTGCAGCTAAGCACGGTGCAGTGCATATCCCCACCAAACTCTTCCCGTACCCCCGGGGTACGCATACCACACTTTGGGAAACACTGCTTCAGAGGAACACACATTTCATTTTAAAAGTTGTAATTTGCTTCGCACCAAGAATAAGCAACCTTTACACTTACATGATAGTTTTATACAGGAAGGTTTCAAAAATAAGTTACATTAGGTGGCAAGTATGACGTGGGGTCAATAGCTCTTCAATTAATCAGAAAGGAAAATGAAGCTTTTTAAACATGAAATTCTGGACTACTTCAGGTATTCAGAGCATACGTTTTTCTCTTTAGGAGGTTTGTCTTCAAATAGTGAGAAAGATTCACTAATATTTCTAATTCATAAGCGATATCAAGAAAGCTATGTATAATAAATATGTAAGTACAGTGTCAGTACAAACCTTGCAAATAAATAAATTTAAACACCAACTCAGTCTACTCTTGCTTTAAAAAATGGGTTAAAGTTTCTTCGTAAGACATCACAACTCGGTAGGTATTAAATTACACATCGTTCTAAATAAATTCTGTGAAAACTGAAAGTGGAATAATATGTGACTATACAAGCAATAAACTTTAAAAAAAAACCCCACATTCTACATGTAAAAAGCAATTCTAAAAAAAGTACATTATGGTACACTGTGGAAACTTAAGTTGAATTCCTCTTTAATGAATCTTATAGGACATATTTACATTTGTAATGCCCCCATGCTTCCAATTCTCAGGCATAAAACGCATGACTAAACTAGCTTGCTTATTTTCAGACCTCTGTGCCTCTTGTTCCCAGTTTTCCAAGGTTAGCAAACTATGGCGTGGGGCCCAATCCAGCCGGCCACCTGTTTTTGTGTGGCTCTTGAAGAGGAAAAAAAACAAAAGAGGAACATTTGTGACAAATGATATGAAATTCATTTCAGTGTCTGTAAGTAGTGTTACTGAAACCCAGACACCCTCATTCGTGGATGTATTGCCTATGGCTGCTTTTGCATGATTTCAGCCAAGCTAAGTTGTTGCAACAGAGCCCATATGGCCCATCAAGCTCAATATAAATTTACTATCTGGCCCTTTGCAGATAAAGTTTGCTGACCCCTGTTCTAAGTCAGTTATTGCAAGCTTAGTCATGGTTTTTGTTGTTTTTTTTTTGTTTCCTTTTTAACAACCGTTGGCATTTATAAAACGACTATCTCCTGGACTTCTTTGCTTCATCCATCAGGAAAATGGTTGGTAGCTAGCCCTGTACCATCTCGCTTGTCCTCCGTGTGGACCTCACATCGTGTGTGATGAAAGCTTCGGTCCAGAAAGCATCAGTTTCCAGTTTAAGTTGAATGAAAGCAAGGAAAATATATATTTTTCCACCACGCTCATTCTTGACTTTAACTTCTTGCCAAAAGGTCTTCACCTGTGAAGTTGCATCCATAGGCGTATTAGTATATTGTAAACGGAGGAGCAGAAGCATTTACAGTGCAGCAAGCGTGTAGTGTTCCACAGAAACCCCCGGCTCTGGTGGCTGTGTGTGGGGGAGAGACTACGTCTGATACACTCAGTGTTATGACATGATGTCCCCAGGAGGTGGAACATGAGACTTTCTGTCCCAGCGCACCATATTCTTCAGAAAGATTTTTCTTTCTTTCTTTTTTTTTTTTTTAAATCACAATCAAACTGTTCAACTGTTTTTAAAAGGTGAAATTCCTTCAACAACTGCATTTATTACTTTGGATAAGAGTAAGGTAAATAATTACTCGTTTAAAAATTCTCAGAGTATTTATTAAGGGGTAACTCTTGACACTTGAGAGAGGAAAATTTTAGGACAAACATGAAATATGTCAGCAGAACGCATTGAAAATATGAAGCTTGTTTTCTGATGAGAATAGACAGAAAGGCCCTTCCTTTTTCACACGTGCTCTTGCCTGGAAGCACCATTTGTAAAGGAGTTCATAACGTGGGATACAGATTCCCATGGGCGCACCGATGGCAGGTTTTAAAGAGAAGCTTCCCCAAGTTCAAGCAAAGCTGCAGTCAATGGAATGATTCTGAATGTCTGCTGAAAACGGAATCCAAAGACATTTATCTAAACTACCACCCTCCCTACTCTCCTAAAAAAGGAGCAATTAGTAATGCTCATTATAGCAAGCACATCATTTCTTTTTTAATTCTCACCCGAGAGTATTTTTCGACTGATACTTAGAGAGTGGAAGAGAAAGGGGAAGACAGAAATATCAATGTGAAACACACTGATTGGTTGTCTCCTGTCCACACCCTGACCAGGGCCTGAGCCAGGGGTGGGGTGGGGGGCGGGAGGGTGGAAGGGGAGGGGAGGGGAGCCTGCAACAGAGGAACCTACCCTTCACCAGAATTGAACCTGGGACCCCTTGGTCTGCAGGCTGGGGCTCTATCCACTGAAGCCAAACCTGCTAGAATGCAAGCATGTCATTTTTAAATTTATATATATATATTTCAGAGAGGAAGGAAGAGAGAGAGAGAAACATCAGTGACGAGAGAGAATCACTGATCGGCCAAGCATGTATTTTTAAATCAAACTTCTAGTGGAGTTGTATTCTTAGGTACTTAATGTAATCTCGTAACATGAGGGCTCTTTATATGCAGAGTGTAATTTAGTTGTATCGTTACGGAGGTTATAAGAGAGAGGTATGTATAACATCACACCTATGATTTATTTGTCGCTAACAATAAAAATTTTATTGATTGAATTTTAGAGAGAGAGGAAGGAAGAGAAAGAGAGAGAGAGAGAGAGAGGAAGGAAGAGAAAGAGAGAGAGAGAGAGAGAGAGAGAGAGAGAGAGAGAGGAAGGAAGAGAAAGAGAGAGAGAGAAAGAGAGAGAGGAAGGAAGAGAAAGAGAGAGAGAAAGAGAGAGAGAGAAAGAGATATTTGTTGTTCCACCTATTTATGCATTCACTGGTTGATTCTTGTGTGTGCCCTGACAAAGGATAGAACCCGTAACCTTGGTACATCACGACCAACCAAGCAACTGGCCAGGGCTCAGTATTTTAAATTTGATCTGTCCTTAGGGCCTGCTAAAAGACCCACTACCACAGTGAGTCACGTTCTAAAAGTTGGGGAGGTTCAACTCCGGTGCTTTAGTCCTAAAGCTCACTTGGCGCTGATTATGACAGAAAAGGAAGTGAATCCGGAACTTTTAAACAATTGGGATATTTCAACAGGAAATGGGACAGCCCAGAGCTTTACTGTTCTGTGCACATCCGCCGTTATCTGACTCCATGTGATACGGACTGCTGCCATCCTTCTGAGATTTCTTCCCAATGAGTCTTAGCTTAACTGGAACATTCCTGACTCCCTGGGAATAGTGGGGTAGGGCAGATATTCAGGAGGGAGAGGTTTCCTGTATTTGGCCTTGTCTGTGGTTTTGAAGGAGCTTTGTAAGTGGTACAAGGTACCAATTGGTCCTTAAATGTAGACACATGGGCTCCCTGTGTCAGGCTTTCTTTTGGCCTGTTACACATCGAAGTTGGCCTTGTGTAGAGAGGCCAACTGTGAGCGCCCACAATTTAATATGAGAAGGTCCTGATTGTGCTGGAGACTGACGAGGGAGCCTGGCGGTACAAGCAGCTGTGCCTTTATGTGGTCTCTGGTGAGTTTTAACTGAGAACCACAGCCCAACAGGTGAGCAGTGGGCTTCGACAGTCCCTTCGGTTCATGAAGAGACTAAGAGAAGAAATCTATGTTTGGTTTCCTCATATGCTTCTTTCCTAAAAAAAATTCAGGTCCCATAGAAATAATTTAAGATAGAATGTAAGGTACTCTGCATGTGAATACCACACAGTTTGCTGGCAACCGACGATGTAATTTACTGCCGTTGCAAGATGGAGGCTGTTACGTTATTTTGCTTTCTTTTCTTTTTAATCATTGCATCCCGAATGCCAGAGTTTAAGTTTTTAAATGAGGCAGAAGAAGTTGAGTTTGTTGAGGCAAAAATCAAACCTCAGTAAGAATAACATAAAACTAGACAGCCAAAGGAAAGAAAGCTGAATGACTCTCAGCAGCCCCCCAAGGGTGTGTAAGTGGCCAATAATTAAAACAACGCTATGTCTGATGAAACATGGCTGATGTAGTTTGGGAAAATTGGTTTTCCTCTTAGACCCTTTGTTGAGTTCTATATAAAATAAGGAGGTCTGCCCGGCTGGTGTAGCTTAGTGGATTGAGTGTCGTCCCATGAACCAAGAGGTCCTAGGTTTGGATCCTGGTCAGGGCACATGCCTAAGTTGTAAGCTAGATCCCCAATAAGAGACGTGCAGGAGGTAGCCAATCGATGTGTCTCTCTCGTTGGTGTTTCTATCTTTCTCTCCTCCATTCCTCTCTGAAATCAATATATATATATATTTTTTTTTCCTTTTTTTTTTCTTTTTTAAAGGAGGTCTACAATGATAACTTCTGAAGGTATGTATATCTTCAGAGCCCTTTTCCTCTTGTGGTACCATTCCTCCCTCCTCAGGGGACACCTACACTTGGAAAAGATAAAAGATACTGTACAAACTATGCCTTTCAAAGTAGTGTAAATGGGCCCCTGGTTCAGAATGGTGCAGAGACATAGTGTACCTGGTTAAACTTGCTGCCTGTGGTCACTGTCGGTAGTCCATCGCGTCACTGCCACCCACAGGTCTCTCCTCTTTGTTTTGGACACTTTCTGAGGCCAAGACCTGAGCAGGTGCTGTGAGTCCGCGGGGCTGTTTAGTTGACTTGGTGAACTTCTTGAATTCACTTGCAAAAGAAATGCCTTTTCTCTTGTCTTCTCGGGAGGCCTATGGGAAGAAAGAACCCTCCATTGGTGTTAATTTAAAGCTGGCATCCTCAGTCACGTGGCAGTATACCAGAGAGGGCCCTCCTCTCTTCCCCGTCTGGGACTGAGTGCCTTCCCTCTCAGGATTGCTACACCACAGAGGGGAACACGTTTCTTTCCCTGCAGCGAAAACAGAGCCAAACTATCTTCTCCCCGTAAATTTCTTGACTTTCTCCTAGATTTCGCTATCTCCCAAGTTTGATTACGAATTAGTTATGAATATCAAACAACTGGTGAAGAGAGTAAAATAACCTTGAAGTTTACCTGCACTTGCTCCTTTAGCTTAAGGATGAATTTTCCTGCACCTTTCCACTTGCTTTGGGCTTGAAACACACACTCCTGATCCAAGAGGACCCGCTGGGAGGACTTGGGGGTAGAAGACTTCTTGTTGGCTGTGTCCTTCACCACCTCTTCCAAAAGCACATAGTCGTTGGGGTTGGGGTTGCTCAGGATGCTGTAGGAGTACTTGGCTTTGCATAAGGTCTGAAAGGTAAGTTACAATCAGCTGGATAAGGACAGTGTCTCTAACTCCTGCATTCATTATGAATGAAACTCGAAGGTGGCAAACTGTCACAGGCTTTTATTTTATTTAAAAATATATTTTATTGATTTTTTTACAGAG